CTCGTCTTAAAGCACAAGATAAGGGAATCTGTCCGGCACGACACACTTGCACCAGGCAAACATTTACTTATTATCAGGTTGTGAAATAGTGTGTTGTACTTGGTGTAATTTTATGCTAAAAGCACCACTGTCTACAATTGTGTAACGAGTTTCACAATAGGCATATTCAGTGCTTTTACATCTGATAAAAACACATTTTGTTGTGCATTTTTAAATTTCCTTCCTTTCTGAATTTCATATTCTACCCTGTTACTGTAAAGGCTGATTATACAGCATGTGACCATCAACAGTTCAACACTGAAGTGAGCAGACTCCTCCCAGCCTGCATTATATGTGCAGCGCTGTTAGCTCATATGCTGCAAGTACAGCTTATACACTGTAAATCTGAGATTCCCAGCCTTTTACAGCTCATTTGGTAGCCCAGCCGACTACCTTTATATCTTAAACTGGTTCATTTTCACAGTTGTGATAAGCATGTAGAGGAAAAAGCAAATATTACAGGAAGGCCAATAAATGTGGTACTTTTTGCATTCTTACTATTCTTAACCACTACAGACCCCGTTTATGAGCACCCACACGGCTAACATCTTTCATCCTACAGGCTTTTCTTGAGTCTTCAGTGGCTCTTTGAGAGGTTACAGTGAAGAAGTGAGAGGTCTTTTATAATGCTGATAAAAAAAAATATTTAAAAAAAAAGAGAAAAACTGATGTGAAAGTGGCTCTCACTGTGTCGATACATCTTCCTCTTCTTTTGGATGTATCCAGCCTTATATTGTCAAAAAGGGTTAGTTATCCGTTTCTCTACATACAGTGCAGAAGTTCTGCAACTGCTTGTGCAGGGTTGGTCCTCATATTTTATGATGCTGCCACCCATAGACTCACATAACCCAAAGTTTTTCTGAAGCAGCTAAAGCAAGCACATATTTTCCATTTTCCACCTCCCTCCAGCTCTGAGACATGGGAGCTGCAGCTCGGTCAAGATGAATATGCTGATCCGTAAAAGGCTCGAGTCCGGTGCTGCTGATGGCTTCTCCTACCCCTGAAAGGACTGAGGGCAGTGCCAGTGTCACTGGGTGCTGCGTGCCAACTGGCACACAATGCAAGTCAGCAAGCTCAGCGTTTACATAAAAATGACATCATCTCCCAGCACCACTTAGCACACTCTGCGTTGCCACAGCAAGGACACACTAGAGACCGAGAAGAGAAGGCAGCGGGTCTAATTATCAATATGATAGCAGGTCATATTACCAATATTAGTGTCTAAATTTGTAATATTCGTCTTTTTCTGGAATTGAGAAGAACCCTAATGTTTACCGGCCTCCTTTATGGGAATAAGGCTGGGAAATGGTGACGAGATGACACAAATATGCCTGCGATCAGATATTATACTATTATACTTATAATACTTGCATCTCTTTATTTGCATTTAATTTATTAGACTGTGTTAAAAAATGAATTAAAGTCAGTTTATTCTGCCTAAAACTGGTTTCTGTATTACATATTCAGGAAATTCACTGTAACATTGATCCACCAGATAATTACAGCAAATCTATGCAACACAAAATCTTGCTGTGTTGTGAAAATCTCTAAAGATTTTTAAACGGAGCCACTATTAAGACGTGTACAGTGGGATTTGTCATTTTAAATTCACAAGACGATCATTTGTCCAAGGACGACAATTATACTATACGTTCATGCGGCTCTAATGACTTCAGATGCACTCAGCCAACGCAGGAAAAGGAGAAAAGCCAGCCAATTAAGTTTTAGTTTCACCTTGGACCGTAACACAATTACATTTTTACTACTTTTGTGGGAGCGTCATCAGCAGGACTGATTATCTGTGCAGCCTCTGCGTTACACAGCCCCTCAGTGTTTGAAGCAAATAAATTTCAGCGTACTACACTCCGAGGTGAAACTAAAACTTGATTAGCCGAGCACAGTGTTTATCTGACATCACTGAAGGCACGTATGAATTCAACTCCTGTGTCGCTCATTACAGCTAAACTGCTCGTGCAGGACAGCTATCGTGTTAATTGTGTTCAAAGGCTGAAGGTGTGAATGTGAAAATCTGTGGTTGTCTGTCATTCTGCGTCAGACATCCGCGTTGTACATCCTGGATCGACCTAACCAGGATGTACCTCACTGCCTTTTACTGTATAACAGTTGAAACCGGCCCCCACCTCACCTACTCCTCAGTCACAGTGGTCCTCAGAGATTTCAGTCTTGTCACAGTTCAAGGTGTTAGAGCTCAGTGGGCGGTGACACTGACTGACAGAGAGTGAGAACTGATGAACACCGATTACTGACAAAAGCATCACTTTCTCTTCAGCTCTGGATCACAAGGAGTCTGAGCAGCTGTTTAAGATGCTCTTATATGAAACACATCCCCTGAACTAATTTGAATGCTAATATTTCATCACAGAATCACCACACACAGTACAATATCCCTCATGTACGAAAACTATGTAAAACAGTCTTCTTTAAGTTCTAAACTGTTAAATAAAAAAAACACATATCCTGCCATCACCATAACCTGTCGCTCTCCTGTGCCTCCTGCTTGACCCATTTTGGATGGAACAAGCTAGGAGGGGGGAGGAGGAGGAAGAGTGAGAGAATGAAGCAGGGGGAATGATTCAGCATGAGCAAGCAAACAGACTCAAACAGATTCACTGTTGTTGAGGCTTCACAGCCATTAGCAGCTGCACAGCTGAAACCACAGTTGCAATAGTTGTTGTTGTTGTGATGGATGGAATCTAATTTCCACTGCAGGCAGGAACACCCTGAGACATTTTAAACCATATTATGGACCTCCAATATGGGTGGGTCGGTGGGTGGAAGTTGTGTAAGCAGACAGTAGATCCCACACACTGAAGGATCTGCTCTTTGCCCCCCTGTGTGATGTCAGCGCTCTAGGTCGCAGTTTGTCACCGGCATGAAGGAGGTCTGTGAGAGGAGCAGGCTCAGCTTTTCTCCCAGGAAGACGCGACCAGGTGAAAGGCCGTCTGGCAGCTGCTTGGTCACGTGCTCTTCCATTTTATTTATTTATTTTTTGCCGTCCAGCATCGACTTGCGGTTAAGCCTGACATACTGTCACCGTGCAGCTGACCATCACCTGACCTTTTTCTCTTCCCAAATTTACACGAAATACTGGATTTTTCCCCCTTACGGTGTCATGAGAACAGCTTACAAAACATGGTACTCACCCGCCAGTCCTCCGCCTCCATCCCCGTGGCCCTTCCGTTTCTGGAGGATGAAATACGGGTTCGCTCTCTCGGTGATCCATAACGCGCCAGCAAGTAACACATCTTCGGGAGTGACCCACATGCTGCTGTGTTTATTATTTTTATTATTATTATTTATTATTTTATGGGGACATCGAACCCCCGGGACTGCTGACGGTGACCGTCAAACTGGTCTTACCGGGACGTGTGATTGTGTTTAGATTGTGTTATTATTTTTAGATCACTAAAGGATCGATGAAGGCCTGATCGTCTCTCGAGCAGCTGCAGGATCTAGTATTGGATATCCGAGCAAAAAGAAGCGCAAGCAAGCGTGTTATAATTAAACCTGGCAGGCGCGGATCGGTCGGGTTCGGCCGATCCGGACTTCACATTTCGTGCACGCAAACCTTCTCCTGCAGCAGCAGCCTCCTGAGCCCACGGAGGTCTTTTAAACAAACAGATGTCTTTGAGAAATCGTGTGCAGCTTCGGCTCTGTTTGTGGGCGCACACAGGCGCAGTGCTGATCAGTCTTTGTTGACCATGCTCCGCGGCAGGTGCGATTCAGTCGTGCAGTGCTTGCTTGCAGAGAAACGCACGACACAGTCACCACGGAACAGTCTATATGGTCCTTTCGGCCGCGAAGTCCACGTCCGCGTGCTGAGGTCAGGCGACACTTGTACAAATGAAACGACAATAACGCCGCGGTCCTCCTCTCCGTGTCAACTGAAGCTGCTGCCGCACGCAAAATAAAGCACGTCACGGAGCGCGCGACGTCAGCGGGAGGAGGTGGAGACGCACACGGAAATACCGAGAGAGCGTGTTATTGTTTCTACAAACTCACATTGTTTATTGTAGTTTTACTTTAATGTAACCTGAAGAAAACCCCGAACAAAAAATAAAACAAAAAAATAGTTTTGTTATTTGATAAATGGTTAAATATCCAAATCAACACAAGCAGAAGGAACAATCCAGCTATTCAGAGAGAACCTGCATGACAACATTAGACCTTATCCCCCGTCCCCATGTATTTATTTATCAGACATGTGCATCTGGTTCATGGAGTTGACAGTTTGCCAGTCGAACACAGCACAACAAATCCGGCTTCGTGGTATAAAAATCCATTTTAATAGAGCATAAATCAGTTCAGACACCACGCTGGGTTTACATAAGTTTCTGAGAACAAACCCGGTCTGCGTGCAAGTTTGAGCTCATTTTCTGACAGTCTCTCTAAGATGTGGTTTACCCGCTTGAACTGAGCAAACTTATTTTTTCCTGAACCTGACTGCCGATTTAAAACTGCAACGAAAAGAAAAGAAAGCTTTTTGGTGATCTTTCGGAACTTTAAGCTTCTTAATCGTGTTAATTAAAATAATTTGATTGCATTTATCAAGCGGTTTCTTATTTTTAATCAGTACCACAACATTAATTAAAAGTTCATGAGTTGCCTAAGCGTTTTTACCTTGGCCAATAAGCTGCAGGCTTTCAGAGCCCCTTCCTAAAGCAGCTTATGCTTTTAGGACAATTGCCAACTTTGCCTGTTCATCCAGTCTTTAGCAAATTTCCCAATATTTATGACTGGAAATGGAACACAATAATGTAAAAGAGCAACAATGGTGAGAATAAGAATAACCCCAAACACTGTGAGACTGACTCTTCTGTAAAGTAAGGGTTTGTTGTTCTCAGTGCAGTTTGTGGCCTCAAAAAGCAGGCCACCGAAGGCAGTGGAAATGTATTTTACTCGCAGGTTCACTCAGCTCGGGGAAACCTGGTTTCAGGTACGCGTTTGCTAACTTTCCCCTCCAGCAAACCGCGTCGCGTCGACGGGCTGTGTGGTTGCAGGACCGTGTCATCTCAGTCATGAACCTGTACAGTACCTCCACTCTGGGTTACCCCGTGGGTTAGTCCATGAAGAGATTGCACTGTAGGTGGAGGTGGGTGGGGGTGACGTGACATTCATAACACTCCATAACCTTTTCAGATATTAAAATGGTTTTTATTAATGTCATTCTCTAGCATTAGTCAACACTCCCCCTCCATGCTGTTGACCGCATTATAAACATTGGTTCTTTGTCATGTTGTGCTGAAGTAGTGAGTAACATTTTCTTTTTTGTTTCTAGAGAATCACACCATTCCCTTTGTGCTCTGCACTGTCAAACAAAGACCTGGGACATGGCGTCTTGGACATTTTGTTCCACTTCTTGGTTCCTGAATCACATCAATCACATCCCCATTCTCGGCCCATAGTTTTAAGTTCTCCTTTATAATAAAGGAAGAAATACTTTGTTTGTCTTTCACTTTTTTTTAGCAGCCTCCTCAACAGCTTGGCGCACTGTTTCAAAACAAAGACCAAGTCACGATCTGAAGCATGGCAGAGTTCAAAAACACATTTTTTCCCTTTCAACCCCTTCCCCTCCCTTTAAGCCAGGTGTCTTCCGATTGGCTGACCCTTGCAAACAAAACATCCGATAAGCAGGGTGGGCGGGGCTTCTGCGCTCACAGCCAGAGCTGCTCTCATGGACAACAATCCACCAGGGAAACACAAGAGCAAAGCAAACAGCATACAAAACTTGAAGACAGTTTAAAACACTTTTACATTCAAATCAAAAGACTCTGAAGTATTTGTTTGATATTTCAGGAAGCCACCGAAAAACCAAAGATGGATTTTTTTCATTTAAGATAACACTTCCTGGATTAACAGAAGCAAAAATCACAGACTTTGTTGATTGCTAAACAACATGTAGGAGTCAGTGGAAAGTCTGTTTCATGATGGATTGATTTTCGGTTCATTCTCACTCATCAATGAAAAAACAAAACAAAAAAAACCCCCAACGAGATCAGTCAATCTCCCGTTTCTCAAACGGGACTTCTGAACAGTTTCATGCCTTGTTAAATGAAAATGAAAACACTTTAAATGTCTTAACGGAAAACGACATTTTAACAAAGAGTTCCCAGAATAAAAAAAAAAAAAAAAAAAAAAAAAGGATTTTCCCCTTTTCTTTTCACTACGCTGAGGCAGCCTGTGTGGTGAATGCTCTCATGTGAACAAACCACCAAGACACATATTGCACATTGTGATGGGGTATGCTAGTGCCCTCAGTTGGCCAAATTCAAAACTACATTTTTTTTTTCTGTTAAAAAAAAGAAAAAGTAATTTAAGTAAATCTCAAGTCCATCCAACATCGGGTACCTCGCAATTATTTCACTTGCTTTATAGCAAAAACTACGTGACCACCCAGCATCACACCTGTGTGATTTTGTTTTCTGGACATGTCCCCCCAGACAGTGGGCGTTAAAATAACAGTCTCCACTATTCTGGGAATCCTTTTCCGCAATTTCTTGGATCCCGCAAGGCTGCAGAGAACTGATCATTTACTTAATCTCACAGTCAGACATGGTTTGGGCTTTGCAAACTCCCTTTCCAGCTACTTCAAAGGCAGCTCCTTTGTAGGTTGCGACGCACTGGCCGTCTGTGCGCAGGTCTGGCTGAACCTGCTCCCACACCTTCTGTTTGGGGTTCAGCTCTTTATCGGGCTCCCCTGCAACAAAGACATCATTGTGAGAAATTAGAATCCCCTGTGTACTTCAGTAAACCTCGACACTTGCAGGGTTTGTGATTCCAGGAGGTTTGCTGTTAACAGCATCCTCATGGAAAATGGCTACAGGGATTTGCATGCATCCAACCACAAAAGCTCAGAAGAGCCAACGGTGAAGTTTGGGAATGATGTCTGCTCTCAGCCTGCAGTCCGATTCTCACCAAAGGTGCCTCGCAGAGTTGGAGGAAACTTGTGTTTGTGTGTCGTGTTAAAGTAGTGCAGTACTCACAGTCTAAATACTGAGGCTCCATAACACTGATGAAAAGAGGAAAATAATGAGGCGTGTGATCAGCACTATCTGCTGAGCGCACATCTATTGTGACGATTTGGCTGAGAATAGGTTTAGCAGGAAGCTACAGCAGTGAGGCTGTAGTACCTGGGAATCCCTGGAAAGTCACTCTATCCCCTGGTATCGCTCCGTTTGGAGGATCAAGGATTTCCAGCTTGTCTTGTGACGAGGCACACATGAGCATGGCCTGGTTCACAATTCCTCTCGTCTCCACTGGCCTCTCGTTACACAGCAGGACCACCATACGATTCTGCATCTGCACGAAGGGCAGGAGAGTCCACATGTTCAAGCGAGAACAGCAAATGACGGTAAAGTTGATGGGAAAAACAAACAAACATCCGAAATCAAATAGGACGGTATTATTGGAATCAAATTCTCACTCGGTGTTCAGTCTAATTGATTTTTTAATCAAGAACTCTCAATGAGATGACAAATGCTTGATGTTGAAGAATAATGTCAGTGCTTTTGGCCAGTGCTTTGCAGAGGTGTGAAAAGCTGGGATGTCCTTCCCAGAACTGGTGCTGCAAAGTTAGGCACTTGGGATCAAAAATCCTCAGAGGCGATCGTGATATTTTAGCCGTACTGGTGACTTTAGGTGTTTAAAATCAGCCTAAAGAACACTTCAAAAGACTATGCTTGTCTTTCTGGTGGTAGTATTATAAAACATTACAACTGTCAGCAATTTGAGGATTTTTTTAATGCTATTATTTTTAATCACTTTTTAAAAACTTGGTTATTAGTTTTTGTGAGTGTACACAGTATACTAATTTATAACAAAGTAAACATAATAGTGTTTTGGGCTGTTACTGTTCACAATTACACAGATCTTCCTCCTTCGAGGCTTAGAGATGGCAGCTTCAAGCATGCCATCTCTAAAATAAAATAAAGGATGCTACATAGAGGCGTTCAAAAACAAACGGAAGATTGACATCGAGGTGTTAAATCTTAACCCTAATTTGAATAACGGAATAGTTGGACATGTCCTGGTACTTACAAAAAACCCCAATCAAACAAAACTACCATACAGTGACATGTTAGATGACAGTGTTCCTCTAAATATAAGACAGCTAAGTGATGGCTTTTGTTACTTGACCACAAAGTACCCTGACCTGAAATCTGTCCAGCATTTACGGGACACAAACTGGGAGCCAGGCCTTTTCCACTAAGACCAGTGAAATGACCCTCATTCCAGAAGAACAGAGGCGGTTACAGCCAGAATATTCAGTTTGCCCACCTCAGCCATAAAAATAACACCAGTGTGTTCATGTAGACAAAAATACTAAATCACAATTTTAAGGTGGAAAAAAAAAAAAGTATAACCTTCACAGACCTTCCCGCTTACCATTATTTTTAATGGTCCGGTCTATGCGACCTTCGTCAGGTACAGTTTTCTCAGTACCTGTAAGCCAGAAAATGTGTGGAGGTTATACTTTTTTTCTTCACAAAGACCTTTCCCACTATGCACCTGTCACTTATTCAGGTGTGGAGTCTTCCTAAATTTGTAAGTAAAAAAAAAAAAAAAGAAGACAAATCCTACTTTCAGTTTAGTTTACACTGTCGTCCCTCAGAGGGAATCGGCTCAATAGGGCAGCTTAAACTACAGTCACCGGCCACTTCTTAAAGTACACCTTGCTAGTGCTGGTGACTGCAGAGGCCATTTGAGTACAGTGAACTCACTGTCATGTTCAAGATAATATCAGGTTTGAGATAATCTGAGCTTTGTGTCATGGTGTGTTATCCTGCTGGGAGCATCCATCCGAAGAGGAGTACACTGTGATCACAAAAGCATTGACGCTGTGGTGTTTACGTCACTTTTTTTCCCTTTATTTTAATGCTCAGTTTGAACTTCAGCAGGTGGTCATGACCATGTCTGCATGGATAAATGCAGCAACTTGCTGCCATGTGATTGGCTGAATAAATACAATTTCTGTTAACCAGCAGCTGAACAGGTGTACCTAACAAAGTGAGTGTGTAGAGTGTAACAATTCAAAAGATATTGTTACACTGTCAGTATCTTTGTGCTTTGGGCTGTTACTTCGATAAAATGAGCAGTCTGAATATATCACACAGGCTTCAGGGAAACAAAAAAAAAGTAGATTATTCAGTCATCTAAAACATTGATGACCGGTAAACAGTTTTATCTTGAAATAAACAACACTAGATTAATACTTGATATTTACCTGCTCCACAGGTACGTGCTGAGACAGTTCACTGACCACCGTCCTGGGAAAAGCCTCTCCCACATCGATCTGCTCCACGAACAGCCCATCAGTGTCTGGAAGCTGCTGGACCGTGACTACACGTCCAATACGTAGGTCCAGGCGGGACACGTCCACCTGCTTCTTTGCCACCTTCGGCACTCCTGGCATGAAAGAAATGCCGCAGTGTCAGCAGGGTACACGGTCTTTCTTTGCAACTGATTTTCCTTATGGTGTGTGCTCCTCTAATATAAGAATCGACAGATTTGCTGCATCTGTAAAGAAAATCTTTGCGGTTAAAAATCTAGTTTTAAGGATTAATGAAGAAAACGCTCGGTTTGACTCAACTTCCCCACCTTTCACAGGATTCTCCTACGTGATCCATTTAGTAGATGACACAGCTCTCTTTATTACAACTACCACAAACTACAACTATAAACTCAGCTATGTAATACTACCTACAGGTGTCAGGGAGTATTTTGGCTTCAGGTCACTCCTTACTCCATCCATGTGAAGCAACATTAAACCAAAGAAATTGTGGAATCAGACTTAACTTTAATTTCCTATTCTGCTTGAATGTTGTGCTTTTGCTAAGTTTATGATTCAGGTGGGTGTACTTTGAACACACCACCACCATCATCATCATCATCACCCACGTTCTCAACGGTATGACCCTAAATCGCTGCACCCAGGAGCCAAGTAAACAGACAAAACGCATGGACGCTCAGCAATCACATGCAGGAGGATAATCAGGGGAAATGGCAAAAGTATGCGGACACTACATATTACACTCGTATGTATATGCAGCCGCTGCATTCCTCATTCTCCAGGCCTCCCGGTGGACGCACCTTTGGGCTTGCCGTATGAGGACACACGGCCTCGGAAACCCATCTCATGAAGCTCCCTGCGCACCGTGGTGGAGCTCACGCTGGCTCCGGATGCGCTCTGAAACTCGGCGGTGAGCGCTTTTATGGAGGGCAAACACTTCTCCAGCGCCACTCTCTCCAGCACTTGGCGATCCTCCTCTTTCAGCTTGTGCGGTCGGCCGCTCCGGGGCAGTGCCGTCGTTATTCCTCCACGCTTCCACTTTAAAATCACGGCGCTGACAGTGGACCGGGGCAGGTTTAACATCGCCGAGATCTCACGGACGGACTTCTTGCACAGGTAGCATCCCACCACGGTGCCCCGCTGAAACTCACTGAGCTCCTCGCTGCGACCCATTGTGCTGCAAATGTTTGCAGACTGCTTTTGCATCGACTCCCACCTCCTCCTCCTTCGCCTCCTCCGCCTTGGAGCTTCGCTCCCCCTTTTCTTCTTCTACGGTTGGCTCTCAGGGCTAATTTTAACTATAGCCCACTATCGGGTATATTACTGCCCCCGTATGATGACTAATAGCAATTCAGTGACACTACGGGCTGGATTGTGTTTCATATGACCTAAAAGTGTTTTAACGTGATGCAAACAAGCGAGAAGCAAATAAAAAAATAACTTTGAGAAGCTCTTTGAACACATAGATTGATCCTGCAACATACTTTTCTGTGTTACAGCAACAGGATAAATAATAAAAACAATAATAGTAAAAAAAAGTATCAAATGACCGTAGTTAAGCTCTTATAATGTGAGGTAATTTATTTACCTACACAACGGTAGTCACGGCAGATGCCCACCCCCACCGAGCCTGGTTCTGCCGGAGGTTTCTTGCTAAGGAGTTTTCCCTTCCCACTGTCGCCAAGCGCTTGCTGAAAGGTGGTCTTTGATTTTTAAGGTTTTCTCTGTATTCTCTATATTATTGTATGCTCTTTATTTACAGGATAAAGCATCTTAAAGCGAATGCTGTTGTGATTTGGCGCTATATAAATAAAATTTAATTGAGTTCTAGCGCTTTTCTACTCGGGTAGCACCGTGCCACCTTGCTGCCCCACTATTCTTTTGCACTGTTGCCCCACAGCAAGAAGGGCCTGAGTTCAATTCCACCATGTGGAGATAAGTTCATTGGAAACACTAAATTGCCCATAGGTGTCAATGCGGGAATGTGAATGTGAGCGTGAATGGTTGTCTCTGTCTATGGGTTAGCCCTTGGACAGATGGCGGCCTGTCCTGTCCTGCCTCTCGTCGTTAGACAGCTAGTCAGTCTCCAACACACCCCCGAAAAGGATAAGCGGAAGTGAATGCTTTTCTACTCTACTTGAGGCCACTGTTAAAACTACTTTATACAACATGCCCAATCCACCCACACTTTTTTTATGGTTAACACACTCCAGTGAATGAATGCATTAAAATTATACATTGTGTCTGACAGACTTCACCTTAGCTAATTGGATTTCCAGAGTGAATTTGTCCTTTCTGGAGCAATTTTCCTGAAATTGTATGACAAATGTTCTGGGGTGCTGTGCAGGCTTCCAAGAAGTTTGTGCTCCAGTTTCAGTTTGACCGACTGATGATCCAAACATCCATCCATCCATCCATCCATCCATCCATCTATCTATCTATAGATATTAAATTTTAGCTTCCTTAAAGAATTAAAGTCTTCAAGTCTTTTAAAAAACTTCCACAATTCTTTGGGGGTTTTTTTTCAGATTTTATTTTTCAGATTTTATTTTTCTCATAAAAAAGCAAAACTGCTATTCCGTTTTCCTCCAACTGCACACAATTCTCCCGAACATGTCCTCAGTTTTAATACCTACAGACATGTGAATGGTGCTTGGCTCTCTGACACACTGTATGGGTGTTCGTGCTCCAAAGTATTTTCTTGAAGATACTACTCCCCCCCCCCCCCCATTTCCACTTATTCAACTTCCCTGGAGAATGTCAGACAAGTGAGAAGGTTAGACCATGTACTGATTCAGAATAAAGATTTTTTTAAAAAAATCTGCTGCTCTTAAACATCGTTTACTTGAAAATGGGCTTTGTGGTCAATGCAACTCTTTTATGAGGCTTTTTTTGTTTTGTTCATTTAACACACAAACACACAGAGACATGTAGTTATTTTGAGTGTTAACAATAGCCGTGATCACAGTTTTCTTCATTGTGTGAGCATAAAAGTTTTACTTTGGACTACTGCATCTGTTGTGCCTCCATGAAAGCCCCATTAAACATTTAAACCTCCTAGTTTGATCTCCAGTGTAAGTGCTTTCCTCCCTCATTATTATGACCTCAAACTGGCAGACCAGTGTGCATTAAACCCTCTCAGTGTAACAGCTTACCATTAAGGGAAGCAACTTGAATTTGTTTACTTCACCACAGATGTCCACAGTGACAACAAATAAAGGGAAGTCACAGGAGAACCAAGTTCTTTACTGGTCTCCTACTTTTTGACAAAGGTGGCCGAGGAATGCATTAACAAGAGAATGTTGCATACAGCAAATATTCATGTGTCTATGAATATAAGTGTTTGAAAGAGGATATGTTCATATTATTTTCCACATGTGAAATTGCAGATGGATACGAAACATCAGTTTTCACCAAGGTGTCACACGTGATTTTTGAAGTACTAAAGTAAGAACCAGCCAGAACCCGGTCGGTCAAGACATCAAGAAGAGAAAATGGGGCTGGATAGGCCACTCACTCCAAAAACCATCCGACAACGTCACAAGGCAAGCACTGGACTGGAACCCACAAGGAAAAAGGAAAGTGGGGAGATCCAAACAGACGTGGAGAAGATCTGTCGAGAGCGTAATGCATAATACTGCCGGAATGACGTGGACCCAGCTGAAGAGAACGGCCCAGAACAGAGTCCGTTGGTGGCCCCATGCTCCACCAGGAGTCTACAGGAAAATTGATTGATTGAAAGTAAGATGACATAGTTAGATCGATTATTTGTCGGAGGAAGACACAATTTTTCCTTTTTTTTCTTGGTACACCACCACAGTGGAATCAAACTAAATCAAAGAATGAAGATGTGACTGAAGCAGTCACATGATCAGTAAACACTAGGGACCCAGTTCCATTGGGACCCAGAGATGCCCATAACATAACATTAACACTGCCATGTGTGATAGATGACATGATATGAGATATGTGATATGTTCATGAGCTGTTTCTCACCTTCTCCAAATTTTTCCCTTCACATCATTCTGTTTTCATTCGTCCAAAGAGTTGTTTTGTCTGTTAGTTTTTGTTTTTTTAGAACTTTGCAGGCACTTTAAGTTTACAGGGAAAGTCAAAGCTGACCTTCTTGTTTTAGAGTGTAACCAGTGGTTTGCACCTTGTTGTGTATTTAGATTCATAAAGGTGTATCTTTATTCCAGTCAATGATACATGTCATCTCCCTGAGAGTGTTTTTAACTTGCTTAGATGTTGTGAAGTTTTTTTAACCATAAAAATAATTCTGTCATCATGCACTTTGATCCAGTGTTGCTCAGCTGGCCAGTGCATTCCTTCTTTTTAACAATGGAACAGATTGAGTTGGCTCCAGATCTCTTTGGACCTCATATTGAGAGTTTTAGTGAAAAGTGACAAATCAGCCTTTGGAATCCAATCCAGATATTTTATCTGCTAAATCATGGAATAAAAGAG